GAGATTTAAACAATATCACTTCTAGAAAAGTGGTAAGAGCAGGAGAACTTGGGTAATTTGGTCGGCTCACGTGCACATGTCGTACATAAGTACGACCAGAAGCCAAACTACTGCGCGGCGGGACAAGATTGGTATATATCTCCTGTAACCCAACTTGCAGTTGTATTGTCATAAAAACTCTTATTGAAATCCGCTAAGAGAAAAATGTACTTGAGAAACTTATCATGGGTAATGACCACTGCTGATAATGGGTTGTCGCTAGCCACTATCCATAGAGATCTAAGGTTTCTTTTTATTCATCGTACAACGTGGGTATTCAATTGTGAGTGGGAATTGTAGATATTGTATAGTCAACATATCGATTCGATATGACAGGGGACACTTTAATTGGCACAGATGCACTGTTTGGCGTTATTCGTTATTCATCGTACTTCTACACTGTACAAACAAAATTAGGATGTAATGACTCTATAGGGCTGAATGTTTTTTTTAAAGGGTTAATATCCCTCTCGACTATAGCACGGAACGTGGCTAGTCTACTCTATTTGTCGGGTTGCTCACATTCGTATTGAAGCCACAAATGAAAACCAAACGCCAAGGAAATCACCCCCGTCCGTTTTCATGTACAGGGTGGTGTAGCTTTTCAGCAGCTTCGCGCTCCCCTCATCTGTCCCTAGAGATTTGGATACGATCGTTGGGGTCTTCTTAGTAAGAATCCACTTGTTGATGAGCGAAGTCTCCAAATCCATGGCGATTTTCTTGGTACTCGCAACCTCCTTTGCAGCCACCAGCATCTTTACCAGAGCTTTATCACCAAAAAACTCTCGGAAGGTATCAATCATCGACACTTTCGACCTCGGGAACTTGGCATTGAAGTCCTCCAAGTATGTGGCCCAAGTGTTCAACAACGGATTAGCTAGAACATCGTCCACTGCAGCGTTAAGCTTGAGTGCTCTGAAAATATCATCCGGGGTATCTCGATTCGCCAGCCAACGCTGAAGCTGGTCAGCCTGCAACTTGGTCGCGAGCTGTTCCATGGCCGGAATCTCCTTTGCGTTGACGAACATCTTCGCCAGAAATGCATCGTCAGAGTTGGTACGGAACGTATCGATCATAGAAACTTTCTCATCGGGGAACTTCGCATTGAAATCATCCAAGTACGCGCTCCAGGTATTGAATAATGGGCTGGTGAAAATGTCATCTGTTACCTCGTCAAGCTTGAGCGCCTTGAAGATCTGGTCTGGCGGGTCCTTGGTAGTCAGCCAGCGTTGGATTTGTTCAGTATACAACTTCGAAGCGAGTCTCTCCGTACGCAGATCTTTCTTCGCCGCAATGAGAATTTTTGCTAGTGCTTCCCTGTCGTAGTTTCTCGCAAATGCTGATATCATCGTAGTTTGATTCATCGGTACCACTTTATTGAAGTGGTCTAAGTACTTTGTGTACATGCTCCAGAGTGGGTTTTCGAATACCTTTTCTCCCGCCTTATTCAGTGTGAGATACATAAAGACAACGTCAGGCGTCTTCAGGTTTGTTATCCATCCCTTGAAGAGCTCGTCCTCCATTCGCTGCGCCATACTTTTCGTACTCGGAGCCTTCATCCCGGTGACAATCATATGCGCCAGTACGTCATCCGCAAAGTTCTTCCGTACTATGTCAATAATGGACACTAGATCCTCGAGTTGCGGGTTCAAATTGAAATCCTCCACGTACTTCCCCCAATACTTAAACTGTGGATTGTCTAGGAGATCATCCCCTGTCTTGTCGAGTTGTAACAACTTGA